CCGATGCAGCCCTCCCACAACTGCGGAATGAGACGAAACCAGCCGTCCAGAAAGAAAGCTCCCCCTCTCCGCCCCCCACCGCCCTTGTTAGAGAATATAAAATCTGCTCAGCCCCAAAGACAGAGCATTCCTCAGCCTGCCAAAGGCTCATTGTGCCCCGGCCCGGCCGCTGGCATTTGCAGAGCTCGGCTAAATTCCCTTAACCCCCTGCACGCCGCTTGGGCAGCGCTAAATCCGGCATGGCTCCCGCCACCAGCCCACGCATCGGCCCTGTGCTAAGTGCCTAGCGGGGCTGGAGGGATCGGGGCATCTTTTCTGCCCCCAGAATTCCAGCGAGCCCTACCGCGTTGGATGCCTTTTGTGGGCTAGTCCGGTTTTTACCCCGTGGACACGGCAGCATGACACGGCACGGCGTGGGACAGCCCCGTGCCACGGGCAGGGAAGACAGCGAGATGCGATGTTTCGTCCCGTCCCCAGATCTTCTCTGAGTCCAACCCCCCCTTCAGAAGAAAGCCAGCCAGCGGCATACGTAACCCACGCATCTACTGGGTGTGACTCACTATCCCATGCAGCGGCCCTTAGCCCACGTACAGAGAGAAAGAAGGAGTTTCCTCTACAGCCTTTTGCTCCAGCTGTAGAAGCTCATGCACGAAGCTCCAGGAATCCCAGGTTCAGTTCCCTCTGTCTATGATATACAGGCGGGCATCGTGGTCACATTCACGTGTCACCTCTGCTCTGGACCGGTCATTCCCTTCCACCCCTCCTCTGTCCTTTATCATTAGGCTCCTACCAAATTTGCAGCCCTGGCAAACATCTCGAATAGTGAAATCTGGCCACAGATGCGCTTTACCCTACACTAGACAGATTTCATGCAGGGGAGGAAGGGCAGCATTTCTCAGATGGGGATCCTAACTCAAAGCGGGAATCACAAGGTTATTTTAGGAGCATCACAGTATTGCAAACCATAGGGCTCTAGCTGCCCAGCTCTGAAAGCTGCACAGAGAAGCGGTTGTAAGGTTGGCCTAGCGCCTTGCCAGCCAGCAGTGCAGAAATAAAGGGATCAGTTCCATGCCAACCCATCCTTACTTCTATGCTGCCGCTGGAAGTAGCTCTGCCACCCAAGCTGGGCTCCCAGCCAGAAGCCGCTGCTCCCCGGCTCTGAAGGTAGCACCACCACCCACAGCAGCGCAGAAGTAAGGGTAGCAGTGCTGCAACACGCACACCCTGCAATAATCTTGTGACCTCCACACAACCCTTTTCGGGTCAGGACCCCTACAATTACACCACCGGGACACTGCCGATTTAAATCCCTGAACTTGAAGTTTACCAGTTTAAAAACCCCATGTCCGTGAAATTGACCAAAATGGACCATGAGTTTGGCAACCCACTTGTTCTGTGGGCTAGTTAGTCGTGCTCGGACTCAGGAGATTTGAGGTCTCTGATTGGCTGCTCCAACGAGAAACCCGCAGGACCAAACCTCAGGGCCCAGATCGGCTAAAATCTGCAGCAGAGACATGTTGGCTTGGGCTGGTCTCAGAGCTGTGACACCCTCTCCCGCCCCATCTGAGCGCCTACACTACAATTCGCAGCCCTGGGAGCCTGAGTCAGCTGACTTGCAGATCTTGGACTGCAGCATAGCTATACCCTCTGCAACTCCATTTCCCCTCCTCCCCCGTCTAGTGAGACCGAGCGCTCTCGCTCCGTGTCCACGCAGCACGCACTTGTCGATCCTCAAGACCGTCTTTTCATCCTGGTTTGTACCACCCCCAGCCCCAGGGGGTGCTGATCCACGGGCGGGCTCCTACGTACTACGGGAGCACAAATACAATATCGTTTAGTATTATAACAGAGGCAAACATGCCCCAAATCAGGGGTGAAGGAATTGCAGGTATTAGAACCATAGAATCCTAGGACTGGAAGGGTCATCAAGTCCAGTCCCCTGCCTTCGTGGCAGGACAAAGTACTGCCTAGACCACCCCTGATAGACATTTATCTAACCTAGTCTGAAGTATCTCCAGAGATGGAGATTCCACAACCTCCCTGGGCAATTTATTCCAGTGTTTGACCATCCTGACCGGCAGGAACTTTTTCTTAATGTCCAACCTAAACCACCTTTCCTGCAGTTTAAGCCCATTGCTTCTTGTCCTGTCCTCAGAGGCCAAGGAGAACAAGTTTTCTCCCTCCTCCTTACGACACCCTTTTAGATACCTGAAAACTGCTCTCATGTCCCCCCTCAATCTTCTCTTTTTTAAACTTGGCTCAGCTCACCACAGCAATCATGGCCAGAGAGGAAATTCCTATCTGGGTGCCCTTTAAAAAAAAAAAAAAAAAAAAGCCACAACATCTGTGTTTCCCGTGGCTAGATCTGGACTCACCGCTAAGGCAAGTGCACACAGCCTCTCTCTCCAGCAGCAAACGAGTCAACTGCTCAGCCAGGGCATGGTAGTTTTGCCCCACTGACATCAATGGAGTAAAAATTTACACCAGCCACAGATCTAGCCCCGGCTTTTTCAGAGATGAGCCAGCCATAAGATATTCAGTGAAGGATCAAATCTTGCTCTGACACCTGCCTACCCTCTTTGGTTCACCTCAGGTAGAACCGACCCTGCTCTTCTGACGCTCGCTTACCCTCACTGAGAATCTAGCCCTTGGGCATCTGAGCTTTGCACAACCACAGCTGAGACGGAGGCTGCGCCTTTGTGGGCCTGAAAAACCAGGCGAGAGATGGCAAGATTTCAGACCCTCCTCGGCCCCCAGCCAAGAATACTGTGACAATGAGCCCTAAGCATTTCTCCTGCTGGCCTCCTGGGAACAGTGAAAGCAGCTTGAAATATTTGGTATTTAATCAAGATCCTTTCTTGCTACTGTGTGGAACAGCGGGTGCCCAACACGCAAGGCAGAGTAGCAAAACTAAACCCCGCTGCGGGAAAACGCAACACAGTTTAATTTCTCTCTCTCTCTCCCAAGTCCTTGGGAAGCCGTGAGAGTCACAAACAGGCCCGAAGGCTGGTGAGTCACGGTGCTTGAGGAGTTTCTTTAGAGAGCCACAGTTCTAAGACCAGATGGGACCCACTTTGCCCGCCTAATCCCCCCGTCTCGCCCTGGCCAGAGAACATCTGCAGAATCACGCCCGTTTCAGCGAAAGCCTCTCTTCCAGAAGAGAAGGCTTGATTTCAAAATCCCCAGTGGGGATAGAAACCTCTCAGGGAACAGGTCCCCCGCCCCCCCAAGCTCAAGTGTCTCATTCAAACACACGCCAGAAAAATCAATCCATCCACCCTTGATCCAGGGGAGAGACTGCTTTAGCAAAGCAAAGGACCTTCCAAATAACTCACACTAAGGGAGTTTTCACCCTCGAGGCCAGAGGCTGGACAAGTTTGACTCTCCACACCAGCAGCCACGTTCTGTTCTTGCTTCCAGAGGCACATGCCCATGGAACAAGGTCAGAATCTGCCCCGATGGGGTTGGGGTTATAGGTAGGTTCTTTCCCCCCATCCTCGGTGGGAATTTACAGATGTGCAGCCCACGCTCTTTGCTGACAGGGAAAGACTCGATGGGCCCAATCCAATGCCACAGGGAGCAGGACCGGGCCTGTTGGTCCCTAAAGCCCTTTGAAAGGGAACGGGAGCCAGCTGGTTCTCAGCTCAGCAGGCCAGACAGCTAGGCTGTGTCTCCTACACGCACACAAAATGACTTCTCTTGCAGCCTCGCCTCCCCGCCTGGCTGTTGAGAAATCCTGCAGCAGCAGGCGGCACGTCACGGGCGGGCGTGGGATCCTGCCTGGGCAGGGGTGCCCCTGCTGTCCTGGACTCAGCAGGGGGTCAGCGTGAAGCAATCACGTAGCTATAATCAGGGCTCTGATGCAGACTGGGGGGGTCTCCAATTTCTTACTCACCAATGAATCAGCACAGCAAAGGGATCACAGAGGGAAGACCAAAAAAAAAAGTTCCCCAAAGGCTTTTCGGCAGCCTAAACTTTAAGCAGCCAGGGCTGTTTTTTCCATTCCTCTGCATTATTTGTTTTAGAGTGACCTTTAAAGACCTTTATTGGCAGTTTGGCCACCGAGGCAGAGGTCCAGGGCTTGGACATTAGGGTCACGGGGTGGGGGTGTCACATTGAAGGGAACAAGCCGCTCAGGCTCCAGGTTGCTGTAACCATGCCCAAGCTGCAAGCCAGCCCAGACCCAAACCCACCTCAAGAGAGGGAGAAAAGAGCCGTTTCCCATCCTCTACAGCCAGTTTCACCCTAAGGAAGGGAGCCAAGGGCGTGACTCTTCAAACACTCCCTCCAGAGCGGCCCTGTTACTCGCAGGAGTGAAGAGCCGGCTCTGTGGGAAAGGTTCCCACCGTCCTCAGCAAAGGGGACTCACTCCGGATTCACTCCGGCCTCGCTCCTCTTTGCCTTCCCTGCCACTAGGAGCCTTGCAAGTCTGTGCCTCTAACCGCCCTGGCCCAGGGCTCACGCCCTGCCTCTCCGGTTTAAATTCAAACACACGTTTGAAAAAGAGGAGACTTCCGGCTCGATTTCTCCCCAACCTCCTGGGGGGGGGGGGGGTGAACCTTGCAAGCCCCGGGAAAGCATTTCACCTACCTGCTTCACAACCCCCTCCCCTCCAGCTGTTCCAGGAAAGGGCCCGGAGGGGGTTTCCCACAAGCCCCACTCCAAACCTGAATCAATGGGCCGCATTCAAACCAGGCTCTGGAATGGTGCAGCCAGTTCCAGACGCTGCAACCGAGTTTCTCTTCCGAGAAAGCCACCCCCCAAAAATGGCCCAGCTCCTCTGCGCCCAGCGCACGGGCAGCGGGACTTTCCCACCCTCTCTCGTCCCACAGCCGGGGGTCAAGGAATCAAGCCAGGCTGCTGCCCTAGTGAAGGCGAATAAGCCCCTTTTCTCTGCGCCACCAGCCCCCCGCCTGGAGTCCAGCTGCCTCGGCTCTGGGTCCCTGAAATTGACCAGCGTGGAGATGCGGATTTGGAAAAGGATCCAGCCGCCCCCTTACCTTCCCCTCTGAGCGCGCCGGGCTCGGGCGCCTTCTCTGGGTCGAGGAGGAGGAAAGTTTCCTTGGGAACTTCAGCCCCTGGCCGAGGTGTGGTTCGGGGAGAGGAGTGAGGAAATGCTCGCGTTTCAACACGCCGGGCGCTAAATACACAGCCGGCTCGCCGGGCGCGCAGCACCGACCCTGGACACATGCTGCATTGCAACTCGCAGGAAGGAGTGGAGCAAAGCGGCCCTACCCCCTTCCCCTTCCCCGCCTGCGGGCCATATTAACTCTTAGCGGCCTGAGCCGGAGTGGAGACACAGGCGTGGTGGAGTAGTTAATTAGGGCCAGAGATGTGTTGGGGTTTTTTTAAGGCTTCTTTTTTGTAGGGGCCTGACTCCCTTTTCCCCCCAGCCGCCTCATGGGCTATGTCTAGACTGCAAGCCTCTATCGAAAGAGGCTTTTTCGAAAGATACTTTTGAAAAAGCCTCTTTCGAAAAAGAGCGTCTAGACCGCAAGTGGAACTTTCAAAAAAGCAAGCCGCTTTTTCGAAAGGCAGTCTGGATGCTCTCTTTTGAAAAACCCCTGTTTGCATTCAAGAACGCCTTTTTTCGAAAGAGCACTTTCGAAAAAAGGCGTTCTTCCTCGTAAAATGAGGTTTACCACCGTCGAAAGAAAAGCTGCATTCTTTCGATTTAATTTCGAAAGAACGCAGCTGCAGTCTAGACGCAGGTGAAGTTTTTTCGGAAAAAAACCCTGAGTCTGGACACAGCCATGGTGTTGAGCTGTGAGTGTCGGGTCCACCCCAGCAGGTGGGTTGCCCAGAGCTGGAATTGAAAGGCCAGGTTTTGGAAACTGGGCTCTTTCCCAAGAGCTGGAAGCTAAGGTGTTCTGGGGATAGCCCCAGGCAGAGCCGGGGAAAGAGGCCTGGGATTTAGGATACAGGGTTCTCCCCCTGATGGCCTGTTTGTGCCTCAGTTTCCCCCACTGGGATTGTGAGATTTACGCTCTGCAAACACTTCAGGGCTGCTTAATTAATGGGCTACTCGCTGGGGGTTAAGAGTTGTGGGTAAGAACAGGCCTTAAGGTCACTGTTGGGTTCTCAGGCTATGTTTTTTAATGGGTGTAAAGCACTTGGAGAGTGCCAGCCTAGAGGAGTCAAGAGGGAATGAGATCTGGTGCATCTCTCCAGCTGGGAACTCGCCTCCCTGCCCAGGTTGACAGACACACCCGCCAGGCTCCATTCCAGTACGGAAGATGGGCCAGGTGAAGTGAGGAGAAAGTTCTGGGGCTGCCCACAGCCTGCTGTGGCTGACTTTCACATGTGAAGACTCCCGAGCTGCCTTGGTGAAAGTTCTGGTGCTGGGAGAACAGGCCAGCAGCTCCGAGCTGCAGGAACCAGCTGGTAGCTCTGCAGTGTTGATTCTATAACTACCCTGCGTTAGCTCAGTTCTCCCTGGAGACGAACCCGGCTTTACCCCAGGAGAAGACGTGCCGCGGCCTTTCAGGCTTTCATGAACAATCTTGAGGCTCTGTCTCCCACACACCCGCACCCCCCATTTGGGCCTTGGTAGCTTGGGAGTTTTGTTGCAAAGCAGAATGTATCATTACTGCCTCTGTGGACCGCTGCAGACCTTGGGCCCTCGCTGTTGCTGGGCGTGAGAAACCCAATCTTATTCCACAAAGGGAACTTTGTGGCAAAGTGACTGGTACACCAGGAACTGTCGTGCGCCTTCCAGAGCCGCGCTCGCACCCGGGGGGGTTGAGCTAAAAGTGTGTTACCAGTCTGGGGGCTGGTACAGATCCTCTGGCCACATGGGAACTGCAGCTTATGGCACTGCGCTGGCATAAGGATAGTGCTAAGTGGGCCTACGACACATCTCTGAACTGGTCCCAGAGCAACCTCCTCCTGTGATTTTTGTTTCCATCTCTGAAGCTGTTTCCGCTCCTCGTTAATTTCATTAAATTTTCAATGGCAAAATGCTTTTTGGGAATGAATTATAGAGCAGCACTGGGTTTAGCTTACATAACACTTTGCAAACTTTCTTCCTTCGCCTCTTTTCTCTCTTCCTCCTCCTGATTTATTTTTTCAACAACATAAAAAAGGCCACACAAGGTCAGACCAAAGGTCCATCTAACCCAGAATCCTGTCTTCTGAAAGTGGCCAATGCCAGGTGTCCCAGAGAGAATGAACAGAACAGGGAACCATCAAATGATCCATCTCCTTTTGCCCAATCCCAGCTTCTGACAAACAGAGGCTCGGGACTCCATTCCTGCCCATCCTGGCTAATAGCCATTGATGGACCTAACCTCCATGAATCTATCTAGCTCTTTTCTGAACCCTGCTAAAGTCCTGACCATCACAACATCCTTTGGCAAGGAGTTCCACAGGTTACCTGTGCGTTGCATGAAGAAAAACTTCCTTTTGTTTGTTTTAAACCTTTTAATTTCATTTGGTGACCCCCCTAGTTCTTGTGTTATGGGAACAAGTACATAATTTTTCCTTATTCACTTTCTCCGCACCAGTCAGGATTTTCTAAACCTCTATCATATTCCCCCCCTTAGTTTCCTCCTTTCCAAGCTGAAAAGTCCCAGTTGTATTAATCTCTCCTCACATGGCAGCCGTTCCATACCCCTCGTCATTTTTGTTGTCCTTTTCTGAACTTTCGCCAATGCCAATATATCTTTTTAGAGATGAGGTGACCACATCTGCACACACTATTCAAGATCTGGACGCACCATGGAGTTATACAGAGGCAATACGGTACAGTGATTCCTCATTTAACACTATAGCTATGTTTCAGAAAATGATCGTGTTAAGTGAAAACGTGCTATGTGGGGTCAATTTTCCCACTGAAAATAATGGGAAAGGTGGGGGTTGCGTTTCAAGTGGTGGTGTCTGTTGGGACCAGGACATAAGGTTGGGGGAGAAAGGAGACTGGGTTACAGTAGGGAGGGGAGGTGTTTGGCTCTGGTAATGGAAGGGGGGGAGAAGGGCAGGGAAGGATCTGCCAGAACCTGCACTGTGTCCGGAGAGGGGGGGGTCGCCAGGGAACAGCGCGGCGAGCGGCGAACCCTCCACCGCTTTGCAGGGAAGCAAGGGAAGCCCCGTGCAGCCGCTGGCAACGGGCCAGCTGGGGAAATCATGTTATTCCAGGGACTGTCGTGTAATTCAAAAAACGTTCCCTAAAAAAAAATCGTGCTATCGTGACAACGTGTTAAGTGGGCACGTGTTAAATGAGGAATTACTGTATTCTCTGTCTTATTCTCCTTTCTTAATGATTCCCAACATTCTGTTTGCTTTTTTGGCTGCTCAGCCCATTGAAGGGATGTTTTCAGAGAACTCTTCACAATGACTCCAAGGTCTCTCTTGAGTGCTTATAGCTAACCACGATAAGATGAGTCCCCATCGTTTTGTACGTATGTGGGTTACTGACTGGGCAGCTCAGGAGGCTGTAGTCCTTCTATGGGAGCAGCAGTGCCAGGAGACTCAGGCGCGGAGAGGGGGCGGATGGAGAAAACTGCGTGTGATAGCGCCCCATAAATCTGTGGGGGCAGATCCCTTTGTCGTGCCGAGCTGTTGCTTCAGCTGTACACGGTAACAGGCTGAATGCTAAAAGTAAGATTGCTACCACATCTTTCACAGAACTTCAGTCTGCGGATGACACTGCAGTTTTTGCTCACTCTGGGAAAGATCTTCAAACTAGCTTGAAGGTGTTTGCTGATGCTTACATATGTTTTAGTCTCACTCTCAACATCAAGAGGGCCAAAGTGCTCCATCAGCTCTCTCCAAATGAGGTACCATACGCCCGCATCTATTAAAATCAATGGCGAGGCACTGGAGAAAGTCGATCATTTTCTCTACCTCGGAAGCGTCAGAGGGTAGCCATGTTAGTCTGTACAAGATAAACTTAAAAAACAACAAATGGTCTGGTAGCACTTTATAGACTAACAAAACATGTAGATGGGATCATGAGCTTTTGTGGGCACAGCCCACTTCTTCAGATGACAGGAGTTTTGGCAAGTTATCTTTTATCCAAGACGGATATTGCTGTAGAAATACAACATCATCTGAGCTGGGGCTGTGCGGCCTTTGCTAGTTTATGACACAGGGTTTTTGAAGATCATGCCATTCGAACAGACACTCAACTTCTTGTCTATCCAGCCATCATTCTCCCAGCACTATTGTATGGGTCTGAAACCTGGGCAACCTACAGATATCACTTGGAAAAGTCCTGGAGAGGTATCACCAATGCTGCCTCTGCAAGATCTCGCAGATCAAATGGGAGAACAGGAGCACTAACAGCAGGGTTCTGGAAGAGGCAAAGACCACCAGTATCAAGGCAGCGATCATCCGTCAGCAACTTCGCTGGACTGGTCACGTTGTTTGGAGTCCGGACCATCGCCTCCCTGTTTTCTCAGCTGAAAGGACACCGTAACGTGGGAGGACAACGGAAGCGTTCGAAGGACTTGCTAAAGGGTAACTTACAGAAATGCAACATTGACGTTGACACTTGGGAGACACTCGCCCAGGATCGCTCAAAATGGAGAGAAGTCCCACGCGATGGCTCCCTGCATTTTGAATTTGCCCGCCAACAAGCTAAGGAGGAGGAGAGGTGCAGGAGGGAGGGCGACTGGCCCCAGCACTTACCTCTTGGAGCCGGGCACGGCTCTCTGTCAGGCTTCAACAGCTGAGCAGGAAGCAGCTCCTCTATGTGACTCCAGCTGCTGCTCTTCCCGCCTCCTAGGGGCAGAGGCTGGTTAGTGTAGCCGACTGGACTTTTTAGCATCCACTCAATGGTGCGGACTAGCGATGTTACGTTTAGATTAATAAGCGAATCGAATAGTCGATGCAATTTGAGTCGATGCAATTTGCGTCAACTATTCAAAGGGAGCCTCGCCTTTGACATGTAGCAACAGCCCCAATGTTGTTGCTACATTTCAAAGGCAAAAGCGATGTGGAGAGAATGGGGCCAGTGAGGGACTGATTGAATCCCCTGCTGGCCCCCTACTCCTGTTTCAAAGCAGCAGCACCACATGGAGCTAGGGGCTATCTGGGGATTCCCCTGCTGACCCTGGCTCTATGTGGCATTGCTTTTTTTTTTTTTAATTAATGGAGATTGCCTATCTCCTAGGACTGGAAGGGACCTTGAAAGGTCATCGAGTCCAGTCCCCTGCCTTCACAGCAGGACAAAGTACCACCCC